TTTTCTGGCCCACAAAAAGCTATCACATAATCCTAGCCCATTTTTTGAAATTATAGCTAGCACACACTTCTAGCCCACACTTCTGGGGATTGGCGATGGACTGAAGTCAAAATATAAACCTATCCCACACTTTCTAGCAAACAGTGAAAAATAAACCTCGCCCACTCTTTCTTACCCTCATAGCGAAAAACGACGATATCTTGAATACAAACTTTTGTGCCAGAAAAAAAAACTTGTGGGCTAATAGATCCTATCGAACCCCGCCATCATTTTTAAACTTTTCCTAGCCCACACCCTAGTCATCCTCACAACGGTGCAGCCTTATTCGTGGCCAGGGCTGGAATTCTACGGAAGTTCGCCTGCTAAACGGAAACAAAAGACGACGGATGATGACGTACCTACGGAATTATTTTTCCGTAGGTTGTATTTTTTTCTTTCTTTCTTTCTTTTTTTTATGACTACAGATGATTTGATGCAAATAAAAAAAATCAAGCAATATTGACTTATTTGTCCATGTTCGCATAAATTAAACATAAAAATTGCTGAAACCATCCTAGTATGAAGTAATATTATGTGGCAGCCCAAACGTCATCACGGCAGAAATTTCATCAGATGTCACTTCAGCTTTGTCTTCTAGCTGGGCATCACTAAATCAAGTTTACAGGTTCAGTGTTGCATTTTCTTGTTATACATTTAATACATTTTCTATCAAGAGATGCAGATGCATTTTATAATGACTGACATAAAATGTTTTTACATTATTGGTTTTTTTTTTTTTTTTTTTTTAATTATTTTATGCTGTGTAATGCACAAGAAAGTAACACAGGGAATCCTATAATCATCAGACTCTGACCCTACGCAGTGTAACTGTAATCTAATATTCATCCCTTTATCCCTGATCATTTTCTTTATTATCTAATGTTTACAAAATGGCAGAAATGCTGCCACGGAAAAACGGTCAGCCCTGAACCATATTGGTATGTATTGATATGATTTGGGAGACTGAATGTCATCACGACGGAAATTTCAGTGATGTCACTTCAGCTGGGTCTTCCAGGTGTCCATCGCCAAAGGCAAAGCCACAGTCCTATGGAGTGACTTTAAACCTTCATTCCAACTACACATTCAATATCAGTAGTCGTATACTTTTTTAGATAAATCAGTTTAGTTATACATCTAATACCTTTTCTTTAAAAAGATGCAAGTTCATTTTATGTTGTTGAATATTGTTACATTATTGGCCTATTAATGTATTTTTGTATATTGTTTTATACATTGTAATAAACAAGAAAGTAATGCAGGAAACCCTATAACCATCAAACTACGAGTAGGATCAGCAGTGTGACCTTGAGAGCTAGGACAACTCTTCCAGGCCCCATAAAAGAAGGAAATAGATGAAATTTTATATTCGAGAAATCGCTGTTTTCGCTATGGTAGCTAGGAAGTGTGGGATAGGTCTATCTTTAACTATTGGCTAGAAAGTGTGGGCTAAGTTTATGTTTTGACTTTGGTCCATCGCCAATTCCGCATTTTATATTTCCCCAAAAGTGTGGGCTAGAATTGTGCGCTAGCTATAATTTCAAAGCGTGGGCTAGATTGACATAGACTAGCGACGGTGATTGTTTTAAAGGACGGTAACGAACACTAAAATGTTAATGAGGATGACAATATTGCCGATAATGATGATAAGGATGGTAATTATAATTATCTCTATGATTATGAGTGATAATTGTGAAGAGATAATTAATAATAATAATGATCATTGGTAAATGGTTTGGACTGGACTGGGGTGATAGGAGGTATTGAGGAGGGGGTAGTAATAGCAGTGTTAAGATACATGGTCAAAGGAGTGTCTGGAGGAGAAGAATCCGAGGAATGAGATCAGGGAACTGCTGAAAGTAGTGGAGTATCAGGAAGAATGTCAGAAGTGGAGATATCCGGAGGACACTGTTGCAACAGAAACATCCATGTGGGAGCATTAAGGATAATGGGGTACTGTGAGTCTGGGAGAGAGTGGAAGAAGAGGGGTAGGGGAACTTGAGGAGGATAGTGAATATCGGCAAATACTTAGAGTGTAGTGGGAATAGCAACAAAGGAATTGGAGGGTTGATGCGGGAGCGGAGCATTCTCGGGTCATGTTTAGAAAGTTTTGGATGTCTTCTAGTTTCTGGAGGGGAGTTGGATTGGGAGGTCTGGTAAACAAAGGTTCTCGTGTGAGTAGAAGAGGAATAGATGTTCGAGGAGCAGAGGAAGATGGTGTAGATGTGGTAGATGAAGTAGAACGTTTAGGTTACCTGATGCGACAGGTAAAGTGAGGAGGTGGGGTTGGCATCAGAGAAGTGGTAGAGATTGAAGTATCTGGATCTACACTGGAAAAGGAATTTGACTGCGAATAGAGGGAGTAGAAGTAGGATGGTTCGGGGTAGAGGGTAGATATACTGGGGAGATATTGAGGCATCTTGAAAAGATGGGAGGGGAGCAGAGCGAATGACAATTTTGGAATAGATAGAGAGACAAAAACCTTGTCAGCGTGCTTCCATTCCTGGTATGAATGTGAGAAATACTACCTCAGATTCGAGTTTATATGCAGGGCAACCCTTATGAGATACATTTTGGAAGCCACCATAATTGGTACACATACGGGACTGAGCAGAGAAATTTGAACGTTCATGACCAGGTTGGGCACATAAGACGTTGACGAGGAAGGGATCAATATAGTCGGACAGGAGAGGACACCAATATAAACTTCATGGGGGAAGTCATGTATATGGTAGAACAATCAGTCGAGTAGACAGAAACAGTTCCAGTACAAGTATCAGAAGAGGAGCGAGGTTCGGCAGAAATTGGTTTGTCAGCGAGGTCAGTCAGGGTAGATAGTGTCCGAGCTTGGGGCTTGGATGTAACTGTGACAAGGCATGAACGATCGTAACGACAGTGAAAGTTTGCCTACTTGTATTTGAAGACATTGTTGGAAGAGAAGGGTATTGTCAGAGTAAGGGAATGTAGGGGAAGATGGGGTGGTGTGGGGTGAGGTAGTACTGTGGGGAGGAAGACGATAAGGATGAAGAGTAGTAATATGGAGGGAGAGGGTAGACAATGAAGAGGAGATGGAGTGGAGAATATTGGGAGAGAGCAAGGGGTGCATTCTGAAGGTTGAGTAATGACTTTGGTAAATTATTAGGAATGGATAGTTGAAATTAAACATCGGGTCACGAGTATTAGTATCAGTGGTAGGAGCCATGGCCACAGGAGAGAAAGGGTCAGTGAACCCGTGAAATCAGCCAGCCTTTCATCCTTTCAGTGAGCTCTCACACCAGGAAGTGGACAGAAAAGGGGATGAAGAAGAAAAGGAAAAGTAAAGGGGGAGAAGGAAAGAACATGTAAAATTAGTTGAGATGCTGGCAGAGGTCCAAGGCAGGGGTGGACCTTTACATTGGGCCTCAGTCACTGTCTAAGCTCCCCCACAACAATGAGCAAACGATTGGAGATGGGGGAACTTTATGAAGCTCATGAAATTACAGAGTATCGACAGATTACCAGTATACCCATGCGTCCACCGCTAGTCCCAGTCATGGTCTGCCTCTTCAGACCATAACCATTACAATATGTTTGGCAGGTATTCAACTTGGCTACAATAAGTAGGTGATGTTCTCGTCATTGTCCCCTGGAGATTGTGCTTACGACAGATGCAACTTAGAACCATCCAGAATAGAAGCTAGTTTTCCTGGATTCTCTGGAGTGACGGTGGCCTGCATTTGTCTGTATACAGAAAGCCAATAATAAAAACTACATCCATTATTATTCCGCACAAATCAATAAAACTATGCTGAGGGTTGTAATATGTTTTTCCTATAGAGCATTGAGAATTTGTAGTCCTGAATTCTTTAAGACTGACATCAATTACAAGATTGATTAATTCATAAAACATCAGTAAACTAGAGAGATTTCCTTCTGAACATTAGAAAGTGGAGAAAATAACGAGATCTGACCCTACAACTCTGAAATTCCTAATAGTACAAGTTTAAAATCTGAGGCAATCTGTAGATATTTTGATACTTAGTAATATCGGCCAGTGAAAAGATGAGGTTTGGTACAAAACAAGAAGCTACCCAATTCCTGTGGTACAATAGGAACAACAGCAAGATCATTAAGATAATTGAAAAAGATTCAAAGGAATTCAATTGTAGAATTTTCTGGAAACAAAAGACACGTAATAAGTATAAAAATACTTGGAATACACTGTAATGAGGAAATCAGTTTTAAAAAATAGAGGTGTTAAAGGTTTAAATGCAAATGAGCAAGAGTTTGCAAGCACTCTTGTGCATGCCACGTGATGCAACATTTTTCTTCAGCTCTTAGAATAGACGTGATTTACCCACTGAACTTAATAAATCTAGCAGACATCTATATGTAGTTCAACTTTACCAACTTTCAAAATAAGTGACAGTGAGGGATCTTCTTGCTTCTGACCTTAAAAGTTTGGAAGATTATTTTACCCAAGCACCATTCCTTTCAGTGTGGCTGATAACAAACAGGAAAAGAAACTTGGTAATAATGCTCAAGGGAGGCTTATAAAAGCCCCCTAATGGATATTTGTTAAATGAAGTGAATGGGGAATTGAGAACTGGGCTAGTAGAATATCTTTACTAAAGATGACTGCTGATCTCTACTTACTCACCCAGTTATTAAAACATTTTCACACTTGTACTAAAGCACTCTTCAAACTGTGGATGCGGATTTCTAAAGGAAAATATTGAATATTGTAGTGCCATGACCAAAAAAATAAATGGATGTTGGGATACTGAACTGTAACTTCATGTTGAATTACTGTTTTTTAATACTTTA